TAGTAATTATAGCCGTAACCCAAGGCTAATTAACCTTTCGGCTTATTTTTATCTGCGGCAAAGCCGCCTAAATTTGAATGCATAGACTTTCCTAAATATGTATAGTAAATCTAAATACATGTATAACTACTGGCTATCCAGCCCCGTACCGTACTCTTGTTTGGGTGTGGTCACACCATGCCCATCTAGTGTGACACACACCTCGGTTACCAGGGTATGTGTAACCCAGTTACAAGTCTGGTGATACGGAGCGAGTAAACCAGGATTTACACGCATTTTGATGTCAAGCGTCTAGTACTTTGCCTTTATTACTTTTGAGATATGAGCTCTCATCGAGCCCGAAATACTCTTCATTGCTGAAATTCAAATATTATGAAATCGCAAATCAATCATGCGCTCGAGCAGCAAACCATCAACCCACGCCTACTCCCCATACGTGACGTAATCTTTATCAATTATATGAAAGCTGGCCATTTCAACCCCTTTCCAGATCAAAATTAGTGGCAATTTCTTACTGGCGGCGCTCACCGCTCGAATAACAGTGATGCGCATGGGGGCATCCTGTTAGGCAAGTGATCACGTGACGAGCACCAACGACGTCAATAGTTTGTTTGCGTGCGTCTTTAATACTCAGCAATTGAATCCATTGACACTGGTCGAGATCCATACGTGGCCGCTGCTCTCGCAAAGATTGTAATTAGCTCACCGCTCGCTCGGCGATATCTTCGTCGGACAGAATGGTCAAGTTGATGCAGCGACGTAGCAAGCCATGAAATTTGAAATGCAGCGCTGTGACGCAGCGGGGCGTTATCTTCGCGGAGAGATGCCTAAAATAGCAGCACATATATCGGGGATCCACATCTTGGTCACTTTTTGTACTTGGGGCGCTTGGTTATGATTTCAGCGTGAAAAATATATTTCATGGTGCTGGAAGCGTGCTTGTGACAGCCAATCGACAGCCGCAACAGTTGTAGTTTGGCTGCCGAAGTGTCCGCCACCCCTATCTGACTACGGCATCATCCGCAGTAAGACCGGCTGTACTGGGCACATGCCCATAATTAACTTCACATTATATATTCTTGATTTCGCCACATCGGAATGGCGTTGCGCGTGTCAGTGGTGACAGGGCTCCACAAAACGATGACGAAAACGGATTTTTGAAACTTCTGCTGTGTCAATCGTCCAGAACCTTTCGTCCTTGATTTTTGTCAGGTCGTCTGAAGCCATTATTAGGGAGTTATGGGAATTATTTTTCTAGGCTTTATTCAAGACTAAATTGTTATCCAGAAAACTATTTATTAACAAATACCAATTTTACCCGTATTAGTTTCAAAAAAGTATTGAAAATAAATTAAGTGTGCTTATATCAAATAAGCAATAATTAGTCGTCAAAATTTTAAAATTTTGCAATCCCGCAACTTTTGTGACCCGAAT